CATGGGTTGCTGAGGAATGCCGTACATCCGGGCCAGACCGAAATCAGCTGTGTGCAGAAAATAACGAGTGCTGATCAGTTCAACATCAAGTAATCTGATTTTATCTGATTTCAATTTATTTTTAATGGGTAATCAAAGGTAGAATGTCTAAATATCACTTCTCCTGATTACAGTGGGATTAAACAGCAGAAAAGTGCACGATGTTAGGGAGGCCGTTTTAATGTTGTGTCTGAGAGTCCAACGCACATCGGGAACAAGTCTGACTTATTGCCGGCTATGCGAGCCAAGCTATGGCAACGGTTGTATAAGGATCGAATGTGTCGTAGCAATGGGCCAGACACCCCATACACAGTCGAATGCCTTCTCCAAGTCCATAAAACAGATGTAGGCTGGCTGGGCGAACTCCCATGTACCCTCAAGTATCCTTGAGAGGATAAAGAGCTGGTCCAGTGTTCCACGACTGGGACGGAAACCTCATTGTTCCTCCTGTATCCGAGGCTCGACTAACGGATGGACTCTCCATTCCAGCACTCTGGTATAGACTTTCCTGGGGATGCTGAGGAACTATAGGGGGTTGATGACCCCCTATAGTTGGAGCACACACTCCGTTCTCTCTTCTTGAAGATGGGAACCACCACCCGATCTGCTAATCTAGAGATAATGCCCCTGATCTCCACACAACATTATAGAGGCGTGTCAACCAAGACCGCCGTACAACATCCAGAGTCGCCTGACGTTTTGCTAGAATCTCTTTTTGGAGTCCGTAAGGTTTATTTAGTATGTATTTATAGTACCAAATCACATCAGAAGTTCCCTCAAGGGACCTATTATTAAACGGTAAAGAAACCTGCAATAATACAATATTTAGATAATGTCTATATTAGAAAAATGTTTTCTACCATCAGTTCATTAATCAACAGTCAAACCTTTGTTGTCTAGTAAAATTTAGTAAAATTCCGATAAATAATAATAATAATGGATTGGAATTATAAAGCACTTTTCAAGGCACCCAAAGCGCTTTACAATGCCACTATTCATTCACTCTCACATTCACACACTGGTGGAGGCAGCTA